AACTATATTAAAATTTCACAGTGCAAAAACAAAGTTTATACAAAGAAATTTCAGCATTTCATCCTTTTTTTTTGTTGTTAAGAGACAAAGTGATGTCACTAAGGTAACTGAAATTACAATATTGTAACAGGTACAAAGGATAAGGCCTTCTCAATTCTTCTCAAACTAGTGTCTTAGTAAATAGGATGCATACATTGCTATAACAATCATTAGAAAGTTTAAAATTATCTAACAATAAAAATGCACAGTAATTTTAAAATTAGTTTACATGTGTTCAAAATGACAAGTTAACTATATCATCTCACATTCATCTAATTCCTTAAAACAGCTCCTGTTAAGTTCTAATAAGTAAAAGAAGCAACAGTATAAAACACAAAATAATATCAACAACAAGGCTAGAAAGAATGTTAAAAGTTCTAAACATCCTAATTCATGAAACTAAACTATTTACAATTGGATTGAAAGTTTTCAATATTTGATGCAAAAGTTGCAATATAATCCAATTACAGTGGGCTCATAACCTTGAGTAAAAAAAAGTGGAATTATGGTTTATTTTAGATAATGTACTTGATTTGAGATAATATATGTATAATACTAGAAAGATTGAAAATAAAAAGAATTCAAACATGATTTAACCATAACAGTATTCTGACACCAAGCTCTTTAAAAATTTAAAAACAACAACAAATTCTGTACTTTCAAAACATGCACTTATGCATACATCACAATAATATTGATAACAATTTAAACCACATCATTCTTTACTAGACCAATATGAATGTTCCAATAAGAAGAGTGAAAAAATAAAGAGCAATCAAAAATGATGTTGACAAAATTTATCTCATAAATGACTAGTATAAATACCATTTCAACTATAACACTTTTTATGCTGCAACCTAACCAACTAACCTAATATTCTTGTGGTGCTTATATTTATTTGAAGTATATGTAGTTTAAGCTCAACTCAAGGGTTATTTCTGATTATAGTATATTTTTGTCAGATTACAGGCTATTTTTTTTCACCCTTGTGAAATTCATGGAAAAAATTGTTTCAAACAGTAGCAAACTTGTGAAATATCACATCTAATAATCAAACAGTTTAATAATGGTTTCCACAAAATATACGTATGGCGCTTATCGTAAAATAATGCCCTTTCCTTTACAAAGTGTAGTAATAACAACAGAACTGTCATTAAGTAAAGGGCCTATATGGAAAATGTTTAATAGGCTATATGATAGTGGTACTTCCATGACCTGGATCAAGCTTTGTTGTTGTACACTGAGATTGAATAGCATGTTCCTCAGCTTAGGCTTAATGTGAAACTGTTGTTACACATTTGGATGTAACAATCAAGTAATGCAGATGGCTTCCTTTTTAATTTTCCTTTTCACTAACAAAAAATTATTCCTGGAGTGAAATGTGAAAATATAAACTGATTTAACAGAAGATTGTGTGATGCAACACACAAGTATTTGTATTTCAGTCAAAAACAAGTCATTGGAGATCCTGAAAGAACTATTTAATAAGCACCAAATGTTTAAATTTCAATCTTCAGTAACTTCTATTTTACACATCAATATGAGGGCTATAAAATACAAGAAAAATGAATCTTAGTCTCAAAATTTAAATATTTTACTGCTTTTATTTGAACATCTTGCATGTTATGTTTAATTTCCATTTTTCATTGTTTATTAATTTCATTTTTCAGTGTTTATTTTTAGCTTTTTTATATACTGGACAATATTTTTATTTTTTCTCCATAGTGTTATATACATTTCATAGAAATTTTGAAACAATTTATTTTTCTATATAGCATATGTATAAATGGGTGCTTTTGAATACTTCAAAGCATAGCCTGAGTTGTTGATGTTGGCTTGGCTTACAAAAGTTGATTTTCACAGCAAAGAACAGAAGTTTACTTTTCTTAAAAACAAAAGGTAAGTTAACAATAGCTACAATTTAAATAATTATGGTTACTAAGTGTTTTACATATAAGTGGCAGTCCATAAAGGATCCATCCCATTTATCAGATTCAGAAATAGCAGAATACCAGAAATACCCTATTCTTTCTGGCCAATTTTTAAGTAAACAGATTACCTAAAAATGAAAATCATAAAAAAATTTAATTTTTACATAAAATCCAAAATATTTATGTAAATAAAAAATTATTCATCATGTTGTTGGAAAAAATTGTAAACTGAGCATTTGTAAAATGAAGTGTAGGTGTAATTATAAGTATAGCAGGATCAATTATTTTCGGATTCATATGCTTTTCATCTCAATGAAACAGTTTAAAATATGAATATCTTTTATCTGTCCTCATCTTTAGAATGTGGTCTTCTTGTAGAAATTCACCAACAATCATGGACATATTATTGAAAAAAAAAAGAGAGTCCCATCAAAGGGGCTGGTGGATTTGCAAAATAACAACAACAAGTCAGCAAACAAAAACAGACAGTACCATACTGATTACCTGGCATTTAGATTCACCTAGTTCGATGATCCTGCTGCTCCTCGACCTGAATGTCTGATTTGTCGGGACAAGTTGTCAAATGAAGCCATGGTTCCGAGCAAACTGAAACAACATATCTACATAAAGCAGCCCATTTACCTCCAAAAGAACATAAGTTACTTCAAGTGGTTATAAGAACAGAATGCAAAGCAGAGCTCTCTCATGAGAACATCACCAAAAGTATCGTATTGTGCACAAGAGGCCAGCTACAATGTTGACAAAACCTCATACAATTGCTGAAACTCTCATTCTACTAGCCTGCCAGGAAATTGTTTACACTATGATAGGCACAGAAGCAGCAAAAGAGGTGGCAAGAGTTCCACTTTCAAATAATACCACCAGCCAGTGCTCTGAAGACATGTTACAGAATATAGAAGCAACATTGATCCAGAAAATTGAAGGGCCAGGAAAGTTTTATTTGCAGATTGATGGATTAACAGAAATTGACAGTTGTGCACAGCTGATTGCAGTTGTTGGGCTTGCTGAGGAGGACAGCTTAAAAGAGTATTATTTATTCTGCAAGGAACTTCCTCAGTAAACAACAGGGGAAGAAATATCTAGAGTGACCAATGATTATTTCAAAACAAATGGAATTCCATGGCAGAACTGCATAAGCATATGCAATGACAGGAAACATGAAGGGTTTCATGTCAAAAGTACAATGTGAAAACCCAGAGGTCCAAGCCAACTCACTGCTTCCTTCATAGGGAGACTCATGTCAAACAGCTTACCAACTGAGCCGAAATCCACACTAAATGAAAATTGTTAACTTCATCAAATCCAGACCACTTCAGTCATGTCTTTTTTCTGTTCCATGTGAAGAAATGGGAGTAGAACATCAATCCCTTCTCCTTCATACTGAAGATCGCTGGATCTCAAGAGGTAAAGTTCTGTCAAGAGCTTATGAACTGAAGGAAGAATTGTAACAATTCATACACAATGAGTCCCAGCATGTTAATTTGTTGCAAGATAAATAATGACTGGAAAAACTGGCCTACTTGAGCACCTGAATGAGCTGAATCAAAAGCTGCAAGGATGCAATGAGAACATACTGACATACACAGACAAGCTAAAGGAGTTCAAATCCAAACTTCAACTTTGGAGAGAAGAGGTAAAGTATGGTTCACTCCAAATGTTCAAGCGAGCTTCTAGCTGAAATCCAAATGAAAGGCTACTTTCACTTGTGGAGCAACATTTGAGCTTGCTTCAAGACAAACTCATACATTATTTTTGATCAACTGGGACAGAGCAGTTTGATTAGATTCAATATCCATTTGCAGTATCTTCAAAAGAATTAACGAGTTTCTCTTTATAGGAAAAATTATTCCTGGGTGTCATGAATGAGTGCAGCCTTGAGTTCAAATTCAGAGATTCCACTGGATCAATTTTGGCTACAAGTGAAAAATGAATATCCATTGATCTCAAATTGAGCAATAATTGTTCTGCTGCCATTTTCAACCACCTACCTTTGTGAACTTGGTTTCTTTTCCTTGTAACTTATCAAGAAACAGAAAATATCATGTTTAAAAAGTGTGGATCAGGAGCTTTGTTTAGCTCTTTCCAGCATTGAACTAAATATTAAATAGTTATGTTCAATGAAATTCTATGCTCACATTGAAATTCTAGTCATGAAGCAAAATATTTCTCATTAAAATTGTAGTCTATTTATGTTTCAGTTCAAAATAAATGCAATATTATTGCTGGTTATTTTAAAACATTCTCTGTGCCATGAGCTGAAAAAGTTTGGGAAGCACTGCCTTAAATGTCCCCCAAGTTTATTTATTTATTGTTTCTTGACTATGCAAATTAAATTTGGCTAGTTCAACAATGAATTTGATATGATGCATTATTTTATGTAGGTAATATTGGTAACCTACGATATTCTATGGGTCTTGAGTTAATGCAGGCCTGAAAAAGAAAAGCTAACTCCTTTTAACAAACTTGCATTTCATACTGATAGTCAGTAAATGACATACCAACATTCTAATTTTATATGACCAACATGCAACAGGCCTAAATTAAAATCTCTATATTAGGCTAGTTACTTTTGTACCTTGGTACTGTCATAGAAACTAAGTTTTTTTTCTAGTTTCATATTGGCTCTAATGAGAAATGAGTGGCCACATTCCACAAGTGTAATTTCATATAAGTTCTGCTACATTTAATTCTAAAAATAATATTAAAATTATTTAAACAATTCTTAGAAACCTGAAGAATAAAATGTTAATGTTTTACAAATCTTTACAGGCAAAGGCCAACCGTATGACAGCTACAGTTCACTACGATCATGTGACCCCCCCCCCTCCCCAATGTCCCTCAGTTATGTACAGGAAAATTACAAATTACATTACACACTTTTCATACTAAAAAAACTGTAATGTGTCAGTAGCAAATGTTAGGATTTAAGAATTACAAGTCTTACTAATTATGTATTATAACACATGCATACAACTACTATTTTATTTTTACATGTGTCTAGAATAAAACTACATATCTGAACAGATATTTATTAATATAATTCTACTGATAATAGACACAAATAAACAGTTTTTAACTAAAGTTAGGTGAGGTCAATGAAAACATAAACCTCCCACAAAAGAATAATCTGTTAAAAAAGCAAGTTCCAGATTAGTTCCTAAAATTACCTCTAAATTTCATTTAATTATAAGCAACTTTTTCTGATTTTACATTGCATGTCAAATAAATAGCAGCACAATATCAACAATTACAAAACATTACTACATCAATTCAAGACATTCATCTCAATGGGCTATTATATTTATACAACACTTGTACTTACATATACACAAAATGCACTGTACACCCTCTATATAAATACATGTACAGGCATATACAAGATATTACTACACCAATTCAAGATATTTATTTCAATGGGCTATTATATTTATACAACACTTGTACTTACATATACACAAAATGTACTGTACACCCTCTATACACATACATGTACAGGCATATACAAGACATTACTACACCAATTCAAGATATTCATTTCAATGGGCTATTATATTTATACAACACTTGTACTTACATATACACAAAATGCACTGTACACACTCTATACACATACATGTACAGGCATATACTCTGGGGAAATTTAATATGTAACAGATGTCATTTTCTAACCTACAGCACTTGAAGAACTCACAAGCCATTTCTGGCTTCCTCAGAAGTGAATGATAGAGTATAAAAGGTACATGTGTTTTCACCACTGATCATACTCCCTCTGTATGTCTTTACTCTTTCTTAGCCTTAAGAAATGGATAGAAAAGTGAGTTCGTTTACACTAACTTAGAAGTTGCTGAGAAAGAGGGAAAAGTGCTGTCTTATTGATGATCAAGTTGGGTACACATACTGTTCATATTCCTCCTTTACCCAACACAAAGAGATGTTACTAATTGCTGCTTTGAATAACTAACTTTCTTTTGAAATCTAAAAATCATCTTACAAAGCCATAACATCACAAGAAGGTGTGAAACATAAAACGGAAATGCTTAACACAATAACTTACATTATGATATTATCTTTATTTTTCAGTGGAGTAACTATTGTGTTTTTGGTTCTAAACACCACAGAATCATTCACAGTGACTTTCCTTGATTTTCTGTGGCTTTTTACAGAAATATTCATCTATGTGTCTAAGTGCAATATCTTGTGTTTTAATCTTTTTTCTAGAGGGTTTTTCATATGACCTGCTAGTTTTCCTAGAAAACAAAAAGATAAAATATCTTAAATACCTGACAATTCTCTTTGTACAGTTTGAAAGAAATAAGAATACTTAGAAACAATATCAAAGTAACTGTAATGTACATCAACTGAATATAACACTACAAACCTAACTAAATTAACAATCAATTATAGAATATTATCACAGAAGATTGAATTTTAATTCATACATACTTTTTACCTAATATTGTACCTTAAAGTATGGAAACAATAATAAGTCTTTACATAGAATATGCTGTGAAACGATTTATGCTCATGATAAAAGAAATTTTGTTTTTAAGTACTAAACTGATTTAATTCCTATTGTGTTTTCCTTATATTTATAATGGGAATATTTTATAACTAACACAACTTGAAAGAGAAACAGCACAAAACATTAAAGATTCTCCTGTAGTTTTCACATACATTAAAACTTTTTTTACAAGGTTATTAACAATTTATCTTTTAAAGTAATTATTCTATGAATGTGTGCAATAAAATTTTAATATTATATATATTGATTTATTTACTCCTTCACTTCATACACAATATAAGGGTTAGCTCCTTAAAGACAATGATTGTATAATGTACAAAGCATTGAGTATCTATATGTTAAAGTCATCTAATGTTCATCTATTATTGGCTGGTAATTCCTCTTTCATCATATACTTATGCTTCTTAAAAGGAACACCAGATATTTGTAAGAAAGGTAACTTCAAGGGGTAACAATAACAGTTTACACTAGAACTGTGATTTTTTCAGCTTATGAAAAATAAAGAAATAACTTAAAAAATCCCGTATGCAATGCACAATGGTGTGTTTAGTAATGCTGCTCAAGTATGAGTGTAATATTCATGCTCATTTTTGCTGTAGGTTGGCAGAACAATAATAATAAAAACACAGCATACATTATGATAATACCTTTATTTTTCAGTGGAGTAACTATTGTAGGTTGGCTGAACAATAAAAAAAAGGGGGTGATCCCTATTATGAACTACTACCTTAGTTCATAATAATTCATAGATTTACAAGATCCAGTATGAATTTCTTAAGGCATCATCTTTACTTAAACCACAATAAAAGAGAATTAAGATGCCAATAAATTACAGTACATATTAAATCACCATCAATACCCTATTTTCAACATTAGATAAATGAATAATTTCAGAAAAAATTAAAAGAGTATAAAAAGTTATTATAAACATTAATGCATGTATTCTTTCAATGATACTTTAAGAATAAAATTCATCCACGAATATGAAATATAGCATGAAATATAGTTAATACAGTTTATTATTAAAGAAAGATTAATTAAAATATTTTGTACAATACACACACATAAAAGAACTGGATATTTATGCATTGAGTTTATAATGCCACCTAGTCAACTGAGGTCATCTCGAGTTTAACACAAAATATAGTAATACATATTTTACATAAATAAGGATCCCAAAACATGTAATGAATTTCCTACAAAAATTGCAGGAGGAAATAATCACAATGAAATTTATATGTGAAACAATCCAATTTCAAAGGGAGTTTCAATAAATTAAAAATTTGGAAAAAAATAGAAAGGTTTACTTCCTTTGGCATACTTGCATATTTAATATCTAACAGAGTATTTTTTAAAGTTTTGTTAAGATTCATTGAAAGCCACATAAATAGTTCAGCACACAAAACTTTCTCTTGTTTGCAAAAATGTCTTGTTCCACACCTTGCATTTAAGCAGAACTTTGCACTTTAAAAGATTTTTCTATATAAAATGCAGATCTGCATACTTTAGGCATATATAAAAATACACATTAACACCTCATAAAGCAGCTCTGACATTTAAAAACCTGCCACAGACAAGGAAAAATGTTTCCAATATTGCTTGCAATATTTCAAAGTATTCGGCATACTCCAATGTATAACTATCAAGCACCAAATAAACCAATCACTGTCAGGCACATAGTTAAATATAAACTAAGGCTCAGTTGTATTGGCTAACACTAAATAACATGCAGAACTACATGATACATACAACAAACAGTGCAAGTGCATCTGTACCACATACATTTTTTTAGTTCATGTTTACATTTCCCAAGATTAGCTTTTAATGCATTTTATGCTTGTTTGATGTCTGTGTGTATATCTATGTGTCATGAACTGGATGCAGAATATGGGAAGAAAAACACGAGTTGAAACTTATTCTGCATTGTAAAAAATACAGTCAAATGTCTGGAGTAATATCTGTATATTCTGAAGGGAAATCATACCCTAGAGGAATGTAAGTATGTGCTATTCAGAGATATCAAAGCTAGATCAAATTCTAACTAACCCTTTCGAGATGGGTCACGGGTGAAAGGCCATGTCACCTCATTTGTTGACTCGCATTCAAAATTTTATTGAACTACTATTTCTTGAATTTATATCAATAAGTTTGGTATCAAACTGTAGATTATAATTCAAATTTTAGTACTATATATATTACTCATTTTCTTAATTTAAAAGCAAAGATTAAAAAAACACAGATAAACATCGATTTTTTGTGTGTCACATGGTATGTTAAACGCAGCACTGGTTCAAATTAGATGTTTTTGAAGTCAACAATACTAGGTCTATAGTTTTGTAGAAATTAGAAACTCAAATTACCGATATTGACAAACTAAAATATAAAATAAGAACCTCTTATCTTTTCAATTTGCTAAGATATTGCTCATGTAATAAATGAAACACAGTGGCACCCTGCCCACCTCTTTCCATTTTTGGAAATGCCCCTTATATAAACTTACTTCTATATATAACATGATTAACAAATCGGAAGCTCAGAATGTCCCCCTAGTGACTTCTCAGCAATTTTAATGGGCTTGGCAACAATTTTTCAACGAGGTAGGGTGTCTTTAGTCTGCTCGAAATTTCATATTTTTCCAGACTAAAATACATCTTAGTTACTAAGCTTGATAAATTATAGTTGAATTCTATGGTATTAATGTAATAATTTATGATTTTTTAGTATATATAAAACCTAAAAAAATGTTTTGTTTCATATCCTCCATGGGCAAATTTTTTAAAGGCTTTAGCAATC